ATTAAAAATAAAAATTAGTAAATAATTACACCATTATTTATTTATTTATTTATCATTTTTATAAAATTAATAACTTTAATAATAAAAAATATAAAAGAAAAAAGTACACTTAATTATTTTTAAATATATCTTTATCAATCATTTAGTTTTAAATAACAATTACTAACTATTATACAATCAAACAATTTTATTAATCAAATTCGTTATTTATTATTAGTTTTTTTCTTTTTTCTTTCTACCATCTGTTATTCGTTAATCACTACTCATTACCTACTATCTGCTATTCATTATTTATTAAATTTTAACCGTTTATCAAACAAACCCTTAATCAAGGTTCGTTCATACAGTTAATGATTGTATCATACTACCAATCTAATTATCTAATAATAATTTCACATATTATTAAAAGTGAAGTGTACGCCAATTCAAGTCTATAAATAGTGAAAGTCACTGATGCAGACGGGAAAGTTTAAGGAGAGTTCTCTATTAGAATTAGAAGATGCACATGCATTATCGTACTTAAATAATATTGTTATTAATCTGGGAAAATGCATTTTGGTCCCTAAAGTATAGGAACAGTAACATTCTAGTCAAATTAACGTTATTTCGGTTATATCTTTGGTTTCTAATGCTTGAACGTAGGGACGGAGCTTGGAAACTCTAGAAAGAGTCAAAAAAGTTTTTGGGAGGCAATTAACCAAGACAGAAAAAAAAAAGGGTGGGGGGAAGAGTAAGGGCGGGAGGGGGTTGAGCACTCGTTAGCCTCCGTCCCTGCTTTAAGGGTTGAACCCCTAAACCAAAGATATGAGGCCCATCCATCAGTATTTCCTCCAAAAGATAGAGGAAATCCACATCAGCCAGCCAAATTATACCACATGGTTTGAAGCATTGAACTTAAAATTTATGAGAGCAAGTATCAAACTCTTAAAATTTAGAACATACCTAGTAGGTTCAATACGAAGGAAATGAAAGAGAAGGAAAGTGAAGAATTTTTTACAAATTAAATTATAATTTTTTAAAATATTATAATTTAATTGAAAAAAAAAAAATCCTTCCCTCCCCCTCCTTTTAAAATTGTAAAGGTGATGTTTTAAATTAAAATTTTAAAAAGTGATAACTTTAAGTCTTTAAGGTCAAACGCTAATTTTAGTCTCTTAACTTTATAACGCCGCACAATTTTTTTCCCTCAATTATTTTTTTGCATCTTTTTAGTCTTTCAACTCTAAAAATTGTACAATTTTACACCCTCCGTTAGTTTATTCCGTTAAGTGCAACATGTGGCATTTTTTATTACTTAGAAATTACACATCACAATAAAATAAGCTTACTTGGACAAACACTTGGCCTTATTATTCTTATATGTAAAACTTTGGGACCCACACACAAAGATGAAAAGTAAATTACAAACATTAATTATTTAATAAATTGAAAATTTTTAAATTACAACATCACCCTCTACTCTTCTTCTTCATCCCTTTCCTTCTATTTTTCCTATTCATTTCTCACCTTTTAAGGCATCCTCTCTTATCCATTGTTTGTTTGTCTTTGGTGTCCTCTTCCCAGTACTTCTTTTCCTCTCCTTTTTAGAATTTGGGTTAAAAGAGAACCCAATTTATGGGTTCAAAGAGAACCTAAATTTCTGAATTCTTGAACCCAAATCTGTATTCAAACCTTACTTTTGGGTTCTCTTCCTACCAACCTAGATTTTTGGGTCATTTTTCGACAGTCCCTTTCTTCCTTCTCCTCCTCTCTTTTAATTTGGTCTGAAATTTTGGGTTCCACAAACCAAATATGGACTTTGTGGAAGAAGACAAGCAACGAATAAACTAAGGACTATCTAAAGCGTGAGAACTAGATTTGGGTTCGTTCGAACTCTAGATTGTTGGGTTTCGACAAAACTAAATTTGGGTTCATTCAAACCCTAGATTATTGGGTTTTGAAACCTAAATCTCTTGGTTCTTTTTTTTTTCTTTTTCTTTTGTTATATATTTGCTACCAATGAGCAATTGAGTTTATGCAAATTGCAAGTTGTAAGGGATTTTTGGGATTTTTGGTATTCTTTTGCCTTATATTCCCTAACTATTGTCTAAATGATTTTAATGTTCAAGATGGAAAGAACAGAAGTAGTGACAAACGGACAAAGAAGCAATTTTCAGTGGGTTTCCATTTGCTTGGTTGGAAAATTGTACAAATTGGGCGTTTGGATGGTGACAAAATGATTTCAATCAGTGTTTTGGAATACGTATTGTATTAGTAAGTGTTTAGTTGTTGAGAAAATTATCATGGTTGTTGAGAAAATTATCTTGTTTGAGTGTTAAGAAAATTTGTCGAGAAAATTGTAATTTAATTAAAAATTAATTGAAATCTTAATTTTGATTAAAATAAGTAATTACAGTTTAATGAATGAATTAAAAAGTGGGGTCCATAGTCCACTTGAGAAGTCTACTGATTAGTGAGTGGAATCTAACATGGCATATTTTTTTGTCCATGTAAGCTTCTTATTCTAATTTAATTTGCCACATCACTAAACGAAATAATAAAAAATACCATGTGAACTGTGTTAATGCTTTAATTGACGAAATAATTAAAATTATGCAATTTTTAGAGTTAAATGATAAGAAAAGTACAAAAAATAGTTAAGGGTGAAAATTGTGCAACACTACAAAGTTGAGGGACAATAATTAGCATTATTTAATTAGTTACTAAAAAGGATAGTCCCATTAATTAGAAAATTTTAAAAAAGGTTGTATCTTTATTTTTATCAAATCTCATCTCCTTCTCCTTTTCATAACAATAAATGCTTTTTAATTTAAAATTTATCTTAAGTTAATAATCTTTTTTATATATATATTTAAGGAAAACAATTTTTTTTTCTAATTTAACCTTATCATTATTTATCTTATCAACAAAATATTTATTTTTTTATTTTTAAAAAAAGTATAATATAAATAAAAATATAAATTATCTCTAAATATTTAATCTAAAAATAAAATAAATAATGTTTATTATTATTGGAGTGAGGGAGTAAATTTCA